AATGGTGACAGTTTGTGGACTTCTAGCTTACAGTTATGCCACTGATTTGCTGTTTAAATTGTTTAAATTAAAACAGAATTGCTTAATTAGCATTGTTAACCATAAGCCTCTCAGAGTTTTTGAAAACAGAATGACATATAAGCCAAGACACATAAATAATATCAAGTTACCTAAGCATTTATGCCATTTCTGACTCTGTTTCGTTGATTTTAAAAAATATAGCAAAAAGATTGATGAGACAAGGCCTTTTCTGTTGTGGTACCCCACAACTGAAATAGCTTCCCAGTGAAGATATCGTTGATTTTATGAATGCTCATTTTTCCATGAACTAGAATGAAAATTTAGTTTTGGTGGATTTTCCTCAGCTATAAATATAAATTAGGCTTTGACTATAGTCGCAATTCAATACAGCTCAATGGCAGCAGGTTGGAAGAGGCAAATGAACTACTTTAAATTAATAATCAGGTTTTGTGCTGGACATACACACACATCCTGGGCTTAGCTTACTGGTTTCACTCACATAACAACTATAGACTCAGTTTTCAGAGAGAATAGAATAGAATAGAATAGAATAGAATAGAATAGAATAGAATGGAATGGAATGGAATGGAATGGAATGGAATGGAATGGAACGGAACGGAATGGAATGGAATGGTACAGAACGGAACGGAATGGAACGGAATGGAATGGAATGACAGAGTTGGAAGGGACCTTGGAGATCTTCTAGTCTAGTCCCTTGCTCAAACAGGAGAACCTATGCCATCTCAGACAAGAGACTGTCTAGTCTTTCTTAAAAATCTCCAGTGATGGAGCCCCATGATTTCTGAAGGCAAGCTGTTCCACTGGTTAATTGTCCTCACTGTTAGGAAGTTTCTTCTTAATTCCAGGTTGCTTCTCTCTTTGATCAGTTTCCAACCATTGTTTCTTGTCCTGCTTGCTGGTGCTTTGGAGAATAACATGACCTCCTCTTCTTTGTGGCAGCCCCTCAAATACTGGAATACTGCTGTCATGTCTCCCCTATTTCTTCTTTTCTTTAGACTAGCCAAATGTTCAGACATTGATAATCCAAGCAAAATAGGGAAGGGTGGCCTTGTGTGAAATGCGATGATTTTGCCAGATTGGGTCACTCTGTCTCTGCCTGTCTGTCTGTCTCTCTCTCTCACTCACTCACACAAATGCACAAACAGACACACACATACATGCCTATAGGGCTAAAAATGCAAGCAGTTACAATTATTTCTACTGCTTTCACACAAAACTGGTAATTATGTGGGAACAGCATAGGAACAGCACTTACTACATCTTCCCAGAAACCACAGCTCATATATGCAATACTTCCTCTCACCATTAAATAAAAGAGCCTCCCTAATATTTCTGAGAGAGGAGACTTGTTCTAGTTGTCCAGAATTACTCCTAGGTAAGAGTCATGGGACTGGAATTTGGCTAGAGGACTGAACCCTGTGTTACTTAGGAAGGCATGATGGCACATGCCTTCATCTAATTGTGCCTGCCAATTTAATAGGAAACATGGCAGCGACTGCTGTTTTACAGCGACAGCAAACATTCCATGAAACTCTGCCAAATAAGAAAGCAATTCTTAAAGCTTTGGCACTATAAGCACTTCCCCGAGGAAACAGATGCACGTAATAGAACTCTCAATTGATTCAATTTCTGTATTGCAGTGTTTTATACCAGTCCAGTATGAAATACTTTTTTAAAAAAAATCCTCAGTATGAAAGATCCTTTTAGATAATAGCAAGCTAAGTACTGCAGCAGTTGACAAATTTAACATCAATTTTTGGGAGAAAAAAAGAAAAGAAAAAAGGAAAAGAAAAGGAATATTTACCCCTCTGTGTGTGTGTGTGTGTGGTGTTTTGTGTGTGTGTGTGTGTGTGTGTGTGTGTGTGTGACAAAAGAGAAACAACCTGAATCTAGGCTTAGATCCAGGTATCACTAAATATTGCCACGTGAAAATTAGGGTGGAAAAAATCTGCTTCATGGTGACTCAGTACTTGGGAGCAAAATGAGATAAAGTAAAATGAATCAAATATAAGTGCAGTACAGTCTGCTAAATCAGTCTCTGAAATCTTTCAGCCCCAAGGGGCAGATCTCAAGCTGGAAAAAATGTTAGGAGGCTGGGAAAAGAGATTTTAGTATTTCTCTGATATAAATTGCATACTTTGCCTCTTTTTGCTAAAATAACACGAATCCATTTGGCTGTCAGTAAATGAATCAAGTAGCACTACTGCTGACTTGTGATCAACTGCAAAGACAAACTGGAGCTTTAACTTGGCTGAAGGGTTTGCTTCACAGTTGCAAAATAAAGATTTATATCCTTTCACATTGTTTCAGCAGAATAAACATTTGAATTTTTAAATAGTAGTGCTCCAACAATACAGATGCAATGGAAGAAATCTGCTTCATTAAAATTGCTGCTGTGCCTGGCTAACTCATCCATTTTGGCATCTTAGCCATTCTTGAGAGCAGTTCCTTATCTAGGGAATATCTTGGAATTTTCAACATTCCCCTGGCTTTCTGCTTTCATTGCAAGAATGGTACAGTAATTCTGTGGATCCTTTTTTACACTCATAACCGTGGACGTTAGACAAGATTTCCCAGTTTTGCAAATTTGTGACAAATCTCATGTGATAGAGTATTACTTATCTGAGCATATATCCATCAGCGGGTGGGCAATCCTTCTACAGCAGGGGTGTCAAACTCAGTTTCATTGAGGGCTGCATCAGCATTGCGGTTGCCCTCAGGGGGCTGGGTGAGTGTGGCCAGGGTGGCCGTGGCCTACTGGGTGGGCATGGATGGAGTGGGTGTGGCCTACTGGCCACATCGTTCGCGTCAAGGGTGCCTGTGGGAGCCTGGGCAGGAGTGGGACAGATCTGAGGGTCTCTGGCAGAAGGGGTTGGGACCAGGGCAAGTGCCAAGGCATGGTCCATTTCTTCATTCCTAACAAAGGATGACACTTCCCCAGCATGCACCCAGGGGGCGGGGCCGACATGGCAGGGGCTGGTTCCTCGCTGTTTCCAGATGGCCTTGTGGAGCTAAGACTGAATGCTTTTCAACATAGATGGCCACCACAAAATTGTACATTGGCTCTCGGCTGGCATGGGCCAAGGCCAAGGCAGCAGGGGCCGTTCCCTCACTGTTTCCAGGATGGCTTCGCGGGCCACATGAAATGACTTCGCGGGCCGCATCCAGCTCCCGGGCCTTGTGTTTGACATGTCTGTTCTACAGGAAGCATTTTTGCTTCACCAGTCAGCCCAGTCCAAGTCTATGTGATGACACTGGATCAGGGGTAGCATCTGTGCAATTCTATTTTCACTAGATACTTCATTTTAGAATTCAAAAAGGGCGAGGGCCTCAGAGATCCAAGGGTGCTCTGTGAATGGCTGGAAACAGAATTAGAAAAATATTTATTTATCATGTAGGAAATACTGCCTTTTCCTCTTTATCAAAAGCTGCATAGGGCTTTACTGTATCCCCAGTTGCCTTGGGCTGTCTGCGTTTCCAGCAAATATAGCAGCGGCAGTTATTGCCTGACCTATTGTGATATCTACTTCCGTGAAGTGATTTCCTATTTCTTTCTGAACCCATGTATGTTGTGTGTTGTTTAAAAAGTACAGCAATATACAGAAATGTTCGCAATGTAACTCTACTGGAAAAGAGAAAGGCATCGACTCTTCAGAAGAAAACCAAGAAAAGGGGTTCATTTCTGCAGCCCTGGGGGGGGGGGAGTCCATCCATAGCATCAGTGAGGCAAATTGATCATAGCTGCAGAACATTTGACTGAGTGGAACATATGAAAAAACACCTCTGTGGCATTTAAGGATCCGCTTGACCACTCTCCTGAGCCTGAAGTCTATCCCTGATAAATAAATGAAAAAAATGATTCCTTTAAATAATACTTTTTAAGTGAAATAAGTAGCTTGAATATATTGACTATATATTGACTATAATCATTGGATCTCCAGATACAGAATTCATTGTTCATCTGCCCAAACTCATGGCCCTAAAGACTGTAGCTCAGCAGGGAAGTTCCTGTTTGCAGGCAGAAGGTGGAGGTTTAATGCCTCACCATCTCCAGGTAAGTCTTCCATGTCTGAAACTTTGAGGGACAATCTCAGGCAAGACCCACAATGCCAGGTTAGAGATGCCAGTGTCTGGCATGAGACAACTTTTGAAAGTGTGGAATAAAAGTTTCCAGATATCTAGCAAAGACTCCAGAGTCTGTATCAAAATGCCTCTTTTAAATTGTGTCCCATTCCACATGAGATTGAAGCTGGTGCTCTGAAGCACTTCATTTTCCACTTTGCCTCACCTGCCTCCACCTTGGGGCAGTGGGATCTTTTCGGGAAATGGGCTCTCCCCTGTCCGGCACAAAAGGGCCTTCATCCATTCTGAGCAAACCCCTTCCAACAACTCTGCTCAGATACTGGATGTGGACTACGTGAGTCCTTTCTGCATCTGTCAGAATTGAAGTTGCAACAGACATGCCTCCCCTCTGCCTTTGGCAAGCGAACGTTGCATCCCCAAAGGGAAGCGACTTGTGGTTTCATGAGGCAACTGGCAAGATGACACTGACAGTTGAAAAAGTCCAATTCCCAAAAAGGACTTCAGCAGCAGCGGCAGCAGCGGCAGCAGCAGGACACTCTTGGAAGGATTCAGCATCTCTGCTTTCAGGAAGCGGAGCCCAAAATCTGTCCCCGCTCCCCCTGTTTGTGCTTGCTCTTTCATCCATTCCAAAGCATGCCTGCTTCGTTGTAGGGTAAGAGTGAGGGAGCTGCAGCTCAGTTCAGCAGACTGATTTGGAGATATTTTTTTTTCTTCTCTGACATATGCAAGCTGACTGCCAAACCTGAATTGCCAGCAGGGAAAGGGACTAAGCAACTGCTTTAAGTTTCAGCCTGTCTGTGGTGCAGGTTTTTCAAGTCACACACACATACACACACCTGCCTGTCACACACACACATACACACGTTCTCTCTCTTCCCTCTCTCTCTCTCTCTCTCCCTCATTCATACACAGTCACACACATCTAGGGATAAAGGTGCTGTCTGAGGTTGCTGCCTCTGTAGGTACCTTCATTGAGGACCTTGACTTTCCAGAGAAGATCTCCCGAGAGCCAGGTAAGTGCCAGACCGAACGGCAGATCTTGATGACTTGAAGCCCAGAGGTGTCTTCTGCTTCTGCTTCTCCAATGCAGTGAGAGGCCTGGGCACCTTTAAGCAGAAGAATCCGGGAAGGGAAGCAAATTTAAAGGTTTCAATTCATGTATTCTAAGAGCAGGGAATGTCCCCCCTTAACTTTTGCTGCTGTTGCTGTTGACCTTTTTAAAATAAAGCCTCCCAGAATAGCAAAAGCAAAAAAGAAAACCAATGCAGGTTTTTATTCTAACATCTTTGCCAGTTCAGTTTTGACAATGGGTGAAGCAAGACAGAGAAAGAAAGCAAACGGCAGAGAAAGGGAGAGGAGATATAGGACACACTTGTGGATGTTTTTATGAAAGTGAGAGTTTGGGCAGGGCTTGCTCCGTCGTGCATATGTTTAGTGTCTAATGTATTTTAGGGTTGATGTGAAAGGTATTAATGTGATGGGGCTTTTTTTACGTTAGAAAATTTTGTACATTTGATATTTGCAAGGCAAACAAGTTCAGAGCACTCCCATTTGAAGAAGGAAATGTCCATTATAAAAGAGGGATTTCAATTTTTAATTCAAAAATGTCAAGGGTCTTGTTTTCAACCAATTATATTTGAATGGCAAAATTAAAAATCTGACCTGACGTTGTTCCAGAATTCTGTTTAGTGTTGTCTATATTCTCCTTCAGGGCAGCCCTTCAGCTTGAGGAAAAGAACCTGTAAACTTGGTGGCATCGTTCGTTAAAAAAGGGTTCATGTATGAAGAATCCATTCAGGTGGGGTGGTGAGTTAGGAAAGCAAATGGCCAGGATAATCTGAAGGCCTATATTTTGTAGTATAGCTTTCTGTTGGGCTACATGCCCTGACTCTGCTGACCTCCGGTTCTTCTGGATGGCTTTTTTAAAACAAGCTAGGGTAGTGCCATAGGGATTTTTAATTACTATGATTATATTTTTCCAGCATGAAAGTAATGATGATGCTGTGTTATGATTGTCTTTTATTTTAAATATATTGTTGCAAGGGCTAGCTAGTCTTGTACACTACACTGGTAATTCTAAGATTGTTGGAATTTAAATCTCACATGAATCCTGCTCCATCCCTTCCACAAGGCAGGAATTGTCAATCACAACTTCTTTCCAAAAGTTTCTTTGCAAAACTCAGTCTTCTTTCTCTAGCTATGCAGTTGTGGCAGGGCACGCATTTTACTTATGAGTATCCACCAACCATCAAATGCTACTAAGCAAGCAAGCATCTCCAAATTGCAGGCAATTCAATACCTTCAGCATGCACAAAGAGCTAATTTTGCCACCCTTGCCAGTGCTATCTTAAAGAAAAGAGGGATTCCCCCATAAGTTGTGTAGTAAGAAATGCCACACAGTAGTAATATGGCAGAAATTGATATATTTCTGTGAAGCTTCTCATAAGGATGATTCGGCCGGAAGTTTGTTCTGCAAAGGGTGATAAAGCAAGAAATAAACAGTGGCTAAGAATAGCAATTGAAGCAATGAGTTACAGCCTGATTCACAGACCAGTGAAATATTTTGATGATTGCTAAAAGGTGGCAGATGTTAGAGAAAGTGGCCTTATTCAGGCATGCCCAAGTCCACTTTGGATTCTGGGAAGAAGAAAAGAGAGTGCATCTCAGGACAGTTTTGCCTCCTAGCGAAATTAGAATCCTCCCATTGTTTCTGCTGAATAGGAGCTGACTAAATACATGCCAGTCAAATAGGTTCTTTGACCAGCAATATTTGTTAAAGGCTCTTATTCTTGTCCCACGGGCAGCTTCTCCATACTGTGACCCAAACTGAAACTTAAGAAGTGAGTTACTGAGGAAAATGGAGGGCAACAGAGATTTTTTGCAAATGTAAGTGAGAAGATTCAGAATAACAGAATACAGAATAACAGACTTGGAAGGGACCTTGGAGTTTTTCCTAGTTCAAACTCCTGCTCAGGCAGGAGATCCCATATCATTCCAGACAAATGATTGTCCAATCTCTTCTTAAAAACCTCCAGTGATGGAACACCCACATCTTCTGGAAACAGGTCGTTCCACTGATTAATTGTTCTAACTATCAGGAAATTTCTCCTTAGTTCTAGGTTGCTTCCCTCCTTGGTTAGTTTCCATCCATTGTTTCTTGTCCTGCCTTCGGGTGCTTTGGAGAATAGATTGACTCCCTCTTCTTTGTGGCAGCCCCTGAGATACTGGAACACTGCTATCATGTCACCTTTAGTCCTTCTTTTCATTAGACTAGACATACCTAATTCCTGCAACCATTCTTCTTATGTTTTATGAACTGAGATCTTTCTTATTTCAGAATTGCCCTGCTGGGTGGGTATGATAGGAGACCAAACAGGGGCTGCAAAATTCCAGAAGACACCATCTGGCAATTCCCTAGTTATTAACCAGATTTTGTCAGTTCAGATCAGGGAACTCTAGCCTGTGCTGATTGTAGCTGGAGATCCAGCTTCAGAGCCAGATTTCAGAGCCCTCTTCAGAGTTGCCATTAACATATTCAATATTTCTGAGAACTATAGATAGTTTTCATGATATACTCACCTTTCTTTTTCCCTTCATCATAATCTGATATAACTGTTGTTTGTAACCATGGCATTGCTAGGGCTGAAATATATTGTGGGGGAGGGAAATTAATGTATAATACTGAGAGTGTAGAGCACTTATAGGGCTGAAATCTATAACTAGTTCCAAGCCATCTCCCCCACACACCTATAGCCATAGGTTATTTTCTGCAGCCAGTTGCAAAAATAATAGTACTACACATCTATCTCAGGGGACCTGGAGGATTACCTGGAATTTTTCAAGGAGCAGCTGGCAGATCCCAGTGCCTTCCTACTTGCCTGCATTTCCCTTCAAGGGCCCTTGGCTTTTTGCTTTCCCCCCAAATTCAGTAAACAGATGAAGGTCACCTTCTAGTCCAGATAATGTCTTCAGTGGTTAGAAGTAATTGTTTGGTCTGAGAACTACTTGCTTTCAGGAAGTAATTTCACACTTTCCAAAACACTTGTGTGTATGTGGGCACTTGAGAAGAGAGATAGACAAAGAGAGACAGAGAGATATCTCCTCATGCTGTCTCATTGGGTGATCTCTCTGTCTATTACTATAGTTAGAAGAGATATCATGCCACCTGAACAGAACAGAATGTTACCATTTAAACCAGCTGTTATGTGTTTTTGTGTGAAATCCAACAGAGCTCTTTTCCCTGTAAAGAGTCCTCAGACAAGACTCATAGTGCTCACATAAGCTGTAGTAGGGCAACTGCAGGACAGCTGCACGCTGGCCAAAGACTTCGTGTTAGCTCAACAATTGTTTCCTGCAGTACAGATAGTCCTCAAATTACGACTACAAGTGAGCCCCAAATTTCTGTTGCTAAGCAAGAATTGTTAAGTGAGTTTTGCCCCATTTTATGACTTTCTTGCCACAGTGGTTAAGTGAATCACAGCAGTTGTTAAGTTAATAACAGGGTTGTCAAGTGAATCAAGTTTCCCCATTGGCTTTGTCAGAAGGCTGCAAAAGGAGATCACACGATCCTAGAACACTACATCATAAATACATGCCAGTTGCCAAGTGGCCAAATTTTGATCATGTGACCATGGGGATGCTGCAACAGTCATAAGTGTGAAGAATGGTCATAAGTCACTTTTTTCAATGCCGTTGTAACTTCAAACAGCCACTAAATGAATGGTTGTAAGTCAAGAACTATCTGTACCATGTTCCACCTCTTCCCAAATGGGAGATGGAAGAATGCCTGTTTAAAGGATGAATTGTTTACTAATTAAGCTCCTCACCCACTAGCCTTAGCTACTGCATGGGAGTTCTTCCTGGTTTATCCCTAACCACCGTTTGGGCAAGTAAACACCTGAGAGGGCATCAGCACCTTGGAAAACAAGGCTGAGGATGAGTTGCAGAAAAACCAGATTGTTGGTATCTCTTTATCAGCAGTTCGATCTATTCTAATTAATAGGTTATGGGTTTATTGCCAAAACAAGCTTCATTTAACCTACAATAGTGTCATAAAAAGTAACTTCTGCTTAATAAAAAGGGTAAGAAGGCAGTCAGCACTATGTTCTCTTCTGGCAAACTGCTATTTTAATATCCCCATTTTCCTCCTTGGAGTTATTTTCATGGGATTGATATTTCGATTTATTTGTTAAACAAACTTATATAGCTGCCCATCTACCAAAAGGAACTCTGGGTGGCAAATAGAATACAAAACCAATACACACAAAAAAACCCTACTTAAAACAAAACCAAACCAATATGAGACCGTGATCATGCCAGTGCCCACATCCTGTCCCCAGTGCCTGAAGGAAAACCCAGATCTTTGCTGCTTTCCTGAAGGCCAACAATTTCAGAGCCATCTGTATCTCCAGAGGAGACCATTCCACAAGGTAGGTGCCATAACAGAGAAGGCATGCTTCTGAAGCCCACTAGGCAATATAGTTTCACTGTGAGAACCCAAAACATGCCCACCCTACCAAATCAAGTAGGATAGGCTGCAATCATAGGGGAGAGATGGTTCTTCAGGTCACCTGGCCCCATACAATGTAAATTTTCAAGCTTGATTACCAGCACCCTGAATTGCACTCAGAGGCCTCCTGTATGCCCATGCAGTACATGCAGCAGTGGTGTTATATAGCCGCACTGTGGTGCACCCAGTACTATCCATGCTGTATTTTGGACCAGGGGCAGATTCTCAATGTTCTTCAAGGCCAGCCCCATGTAAAGGGCATTGCAATTATTCAATTAGGAGGTGAGTGTGGCATGAATGAGCATGAGCAGAGCCCCCATTCTAGAAAAGGGTACAAGTGGCACACAAGATGTAATTGCGCAAAGGCTATCCTGACCATAAGCTGCCACCTGCTCTCCAAGTAGGAAGTATGAGTTCAGGACAATTCTAAATTGTGCATCCAGCCAGAGTTAAAGACAGCAAATCAGTACATATGAGGTACCCCAAAACCTTGTCATGGTAGAGGTAAAGGCAATTCTTCCCCAAATAGGTTTCTACAGCCTCTAGGTTCTGGGAAAATACTTCACATCACTTGGGCAGCTCAGGGCAGAGATGTACAGCTGAGTATCATCAGCATACTGTTGGTACTTAACCTCGTGCTGATGGATGACTTCACCTGCCATTTCAGATAAAAGTTAAATAAAGATGAGAGTTGAGCTTAGTGGCATCCCAGAAAAATCCTATTACCAACACCAATTGCAACCAGCGTTGGAGAAAAGAAGAGTACCACTGGACAGCAGTGCTTCCCCTTTCCAAAGCCCTCAGCCATCTCAGAAAGATGTCATGATTGATGATATAGAAAGCTGCTAAGCAATCAAGTAGGGCCAGGAGGGATGCAGAGAATCCTCTTCTTCCAAAACACATTAAAGATATAGACCTTTCATCTTCTCAACAATTTTCTCCAAGAAGGGAACTGGACCAACATTGTTCAGTACTCTATTCTCTGTTTCGCCCCATTGCTGTCCCCAGTCACTTCAGAAAGGAAAAATAATTAAATCTATTTTAGAGCTAAATTATGTACTATGTGTTACATTCAAGCATGGGCAACAAAACTGAGAGCCACAATTTCAAAAGAAGGTGACTGGAAAGGAGAAAAAGGGTTATTTTAGGTTAGCCCTTTTCCAATCTATTGTTCCAAAATGCCATATTTAGGTCAAGATTTTTTCAAGACAAACTTGATTCACAGAGATAATGAGCACATACTGTGAGATATGAGGGCACATTGACATGGGTTCCTTGGTAATGAGACAGAAATGATTTGCCACTGTTTTTCCACTGGGTATCTTTTGATGACCCATTGTCACCTACAGTTCTGCATTTCCTTATTGTCTCTCATCTCAATTTCAGCCAGTTTTGATTCTGCTTAGCTTTTTCTAAGCAGATATCAACCACTGTCAGTTATATGCTAGTAAATAGAAATATATTTCTATTTTTCGTTTTATTTCAATTAAATTTCCTTAAATCTTCACCAAATTGGCATTGTTATGAAAATAGAAAGATTGTTACCAAAGGTATAAATATTATCACTAGTATTCTGGTCTAAAGCTAGTAATCCAATTTAATGCTGAATCACTAATAATCCAGTCTAGCATTGGCTGGTATTTCATTGCAGGTTTGTCCCCCTTAGCACACAAGGATTTTTATGGTTTGTTGGTTTGGTTTTGGCCCACAAATACCGATAATACATAATAATAGGACTACCAGATCTGGGGTACAAAAATCAGAATGATTTCTAGAAGTCAGCCAAAAGATAGAAGAAAACCTAACCCTTTGCTGCCAAAGTCAGGATTTTTGCAACCCAGAGTTGATAGTCCTACCTTCTAATAGTAACACTAAAAAACAGGCCGCTTCACTCTCCACATACGGTACTTCCCTGTCTTTCATTGCTAACTAAGCGGATCTCTGAGCTGGATTTATGAGAAGAAGCCTTGATCTATTTCTAGGGCACTTTCTGCAGGCAACACTCAACAAATTAATATGCAGAGCCCAACTTGGCCTAGTCGTATTTTTAAGTGGGGGTGAGGGATGTTGTTGGTATTGCAAAGCACCCATTCTTTATCCAGGACACAAGGGCTGCCAACAAAGCAAACAAAACCGAGTCACAAAGCTGTGTTCCCTCAAAGACAAGATGAATTAGGATTATGTTTCTATTCAAAACTGGGACAGAACAACCCCAAAACAGCATCTGGTGAATGGGCCTTGTGTACTTTCCCCCTCCATCCTCAGGAGTGCCAAGGCAACTGGTTTCTGTGACAGGGAGCTGAGGATCATTGGCTGGAACTCAGAAGCCAGCCAAAATGTTATGTAAGACCTTCAGCCTTTTGATTGGCCTTTGCTTCAAAACAGAGTCGCTGCAGATGGAAGCTAAAATGGACTTCACATTAACTTGTCTTTGTCTTTGATGTGCACTTTTGTTTGTTTTTTTTCTTTTTAATTGTAAATACCACCAGGAGAGGGGGGTGTATCTATTTCCTTGCAGTCTTGGGGAAAACCATGTTTAGGTCTTTGTAAGGGGAAGGCGTGTCTCTTAGTGCAAATAATAGCTTTGAACAGTTTTAGGACTTCACTAAAGGGCAAAACACTAAGGCTCCGTCAAGCTTGCTTTAAAGTCAGCACTGCTACAGTATTTGCATGTTTTAAAACTGTAATATTTGGTTTTGTAGCATCTGTATCTTAAATGCAAGGGTCATCAGATTTACTTTGGCTCTAAGTTTCCTTAGAGCCACATCCATGGCCATGACTGGATTATGCCACAATTTTCCTGCTACGTCTTCAAGTAGGGAAGTTATTGTATACCTGTATTATAGTACTGATTGTGGAAGAAGGAGGAGGAGGGAAAGGGTTAGCCTATACACATCTTTCGTAGGAAAAGGTTACTTTAGTCAAAGTGTCTTGAAGTAGTTTTAAAATCCAAATAGCTTTAAAGCTTCTAAAAACACTGTCAATTCAGTTCAATCTTTATTAGAGTCATAGACCAACACAAAAAGTTAAACATTAAAAGAAAGCAAAACTGAACAGAACAAAGCATGGTAATATATTTGATAGTAAAATCAATGGGGGGAAAAGGAGTTATAGGAGTTATAAACTCCTATAGGAGTTTATATAGTGATAGATGTCTATGGCGATAGAAGCTTATATTTGGAATGCATAATAAGATCAGAATGTATTGATGTTATTAGCCCTGTAAGATAGTCCAGATAAGAAACACAACCAGGAGTACTAGCTCTCTCTTTTTTTGTAAGATTATATTATCAGAATCTTGCAAGACTGAAAGTATTTCTCCTCTCTTTTCCTTTTACTCTTCAGAAAACTAGGGAGGATCCCTTCTGAGATGCTTCCCACACCTTCCCTCCTTCAGTGGGCTGAGATATCTTTTACATGCTGGTTGTCCACTCTGCATCTTTTGCTCCTCTCCCCCAAGGTCGTTCCCACATACTAATACAAATGTGCATCTGGATGGCCAATCTACTTACCGGGCAGGTAGATTGCTACCATAAATGAATGACACTGATATAAAGTGAAGCAGGAGAGGGTGGCTGGAGAAAGCCAAAGCTTACCAGCTGGCACTTTTCCTCCTCAAATGGCTTTTAAAAAAAGTATATATTTCTTCCGGTAGAAGAATCAGTTAAAAACAAGTACAATAACAATTTCAAGTGGAAAACCCCAGATAAGGTTGCTTCGCTATGCTGCAGTTTAAAGAAGGACAGGAACAGACATTTGCTGCTTAAGATATTTTGGATGAGATGATGCCTGTAGACTAAAACAGATTTGCACAATGCACTATTATCACTACCAATTTGTAAACTAGTATGGTGTGCCAACCCAGCCACTGGGGATTATTTCTGATTCAGTGTGTTGTTCAAATCTAAGAAAGTGGTTTACTTGTATTCAGATATGTTTGGTTCAGGACTATGTATCATATGAATATAGTCCATAAGGCCATGGACACAGGCTCACTTGGAAATCCAGCCTCCAGCTTCATTTTGTAATCCCATTTAATATTTCCCTGACAGAGATTTTAGGTGTGCAATTTTTAAAAAAAAAAAATCAAATTTGAAGTGGTTGCTTGAGGTTTGAAACAGCCTTCTACAACCTTACCAAAAATGTTTCAACTTTTATAAAATTTAGTGCCCAGCAAAAAAAATGTTGCCTTAAATTTGGAATGGCTGGTCCAAATGTGAAACGAGGCTGTTTCAAACTCAGAACATTCTCAGAATGGTTAAAACTTCACTAAATATTTCTAATAAAATCAGAGTATCTGTTCCAAACACAAAATGAGTTTGAAATGGGCTGTTTCAAATCTAAATATTTGGAACTGAAAATGCTTTGCATGCCCCCCCTGTCCAATCTCTGCTCAAAAGCATTCAGGCAAGGGAAATCAACAGGTTTCTCAGTAACTGGATAAAAGGTAGAACCAGGAAGAACCATTATCTACACTCCTTCTATGGCACCCAACATTTGTAATCTGGGGCAAAATGTATCTAGACCAGCGGTTCTCAACGTTTGTGTGACGGCGACCCCCGTCACACAAACGTTATGCGCATGCGCGGTGCGGTGCGCATGCATGGCGGTGCCCCATGCGTGGCGCACATGCACGGGGCTGCCCCATGTGCACCGCACATGCATGATGCCACCCCATGCGCGGCGCACATGCGCGGTGCTGCCCCCATGCGCAGCGCTCATGTGCTGCGTCGCCCCCGGAGGGGAGAAAATGGCGGATCGCCGCCTTTGGCGACCCCCGAAAAATGGTCGATCGACCCCAAATGGGGTCGCGACCCATAGGTTGAGAACCGCTGATCTAGACTATTTAGAGTGCAGCACTGCTCTAAATTTCTCCCTTTGGCGGAACAAGTAATAGTAGTAACTGTGAGAGGGACCTCGGAGTCCTAGTGGACAATCACTTAAATATGAGCCAGCAGTGTGCTGCAGCTGCCAAAAAGGCCAACACAGTGCTAGGCTGCATTAACAGAGGGATAGAATCAAGGTCATGTGAAGTGTTAATACCACTTTACAATGCCTTGGTAAGGCCACACTTGGAATATTGCATCCAGTTTTGGTCACCGCGATGTAAAAAAGCTGTTGAGACTCTAGAAAGATTACAGAGAAGAGCAGCAAAGATGATTAGGGGACTGGAGGCTAAAGCATATAAGCAACGGCTGCTGGAATTGGGTATGTCTAGTTTAACGAAGAGAAGGATGACGGAACGTGATAGCAGTGTTCCAACATCTCAAGGGCTGCCCCAAAGAAGAGGGAGTCAAGCTATTTTCCAAAGCGCCTGAGGGCAGGACAAGAAGCAATGGATGGAAACTAACTAAAGAGAGAAGCAACCTAGAACTAAGGAAAAACTTCCTGACAGTTAGAACAATTAACCACTGGAGCAACCTGCCTCCAGAAGCAGTGAATGCTCCAACACTGGAAGTTTTTAAGAAGAGACTGGACAGCCATTTGTCTGAAATGGTATAGGTTTTCCTGCCTGAGCAGGGGGTTGGACTAGATGACCTTCAAGGTCCCTTCCAACTTTATTATTATTATTATTATTATTATTATTATTATTATTATTATTATTATTATTATTATTATTAAGCTCTCTATGTCCTCCTCTTGGGGCATCCCATATTTCAAATGAATTGAAATTCAGACAAATCACTTCACATACATTAACACCAACATTTCTATGAGCATTATACCACAAGGTGCATATATATTGGGGCCTGAGGTCAATGGCATCCAAAATAAAGTGTGTTGCTAAAATGAGATTATATGCAGGGTCATGTTATCGTGCAAATGTCACATAAGTGTTTGCCTCTCAACATCTCACACAAGTATGTAACTTGTGACATTTGTGTGATTATCTCATGCCCACATATTTTATCATTCTTCCTGTGAGACGTGAAGTCTCTTTTAAACAGCACCAAAAGTTTCCATAAGGTTATTTTTATCATCATCTTTCTGCATATTGTGAAGTTAAATTCGATCTGGTAATTTAGATGGAGACAGCAGAAATCATTGATTGATTTTTGTGGCTTTATTTTCTCTGAAAGTTTCTTCGCATTTCTGCAGTATAATTTTGTTGGGTCTGAAATACAATAAGGATGCAGCCATTTATAGCCACCTTTGAAGATTACCTCTTCAGGAAGAGAGAGAGAGCTAGCAACTGCAAGCATTAAACATTTTTTACCACTTCTACAGTCTTCTATTTCCCAACTGCTATTAGTAAGCACAGACTGTTGGATAGGTTCAGTATGATAAAAGTGAATTTCCTTTGGAATCTGGTATTTAACCATGCTGAGAATGATACAAAAAACTAGTGTACATTACTTTCCTCCCAAAAGCAAGTATTTTTTTTAGTTTGGTTAGATATAACTAAACTATCTACATAACAAGAATTGACTTCTCCTCCCTTCCTGAAAAATTATGCTAATGTTAGTAGCATGTTTAATTCAGCCACCGGCAATGCTTCTAATACAAAGCAAAAGGTCCTCCCCTTTCCAAATGATAAGACTTTATTTTGTTTTTTGTTTTCTGAATGCATGCTATCTAAACTGAAAGCTGTTCTAAGCTCTGTTAAGTAAGGATGTGTGTTTCAAAAACATCAAGAAGGTGGCGGCGACTATGCAAATGAAGCCCTGCCCCTTGTGAAAAGAGGTGGGGCTTTGATTGTGCCATGATGGCCAACACTTTGATGTTTTGGATTCCCTTCCTTCCACAGATGCCCATATAAGCAGTGATTTTCTTGTTTGCAGAATTAATCAGGGTTTACATTTGACAATTGCCAAAAGAAAACTTTCTTCTTTTATTTGGTGCCTTTGTGTCCATTTTTGATGACAAGTCCCTGTGGTTTTCTAACAAGATTTTCATAAGTAGTTTACCTTTGTCTGCTTTCTGTGTGTGTGTGTGGGAGAGAGAGAGAGAGAGAGAGAGAGAGAAGAGAGAGAGAGAGAGAGAGAGAGAGAGAGAGAGAGAGAGAGAGAGAGAGAGAGAGAGTAACCTAAGCTCCTCCAGCTGGCTTTGTATTTAAGATGCGACTAGAACTCACATTGCCCAGTTTCTAGCCTAGTGTCTTAATCACTGCACCAAAATGTTATTTACTTGATAATAAGTTTGTATATTGTGAATGGAAATAATAGTGGGATCCTTGCATATTTAAAATGCAAATGGAACTTTTGGCAAAAATATTTGTTGTGATTGAATCAAAAGAGTTAGGCAAATAGTAACTTCTGCACATAATCTAATTCTTTATGTTGATATGCCTTCCTAGCTCTCTGTTTGCGACCAAACGTGTACAAAGTGAAAATGTCCATGGAAAAGGTTATCAGAGAAGACCAGGTGGAGATTTTGGAGTACAACTTCACTAGAATCAGCAAGAACCCTGATCGTGCTACCCTGGACCTCATTGCTGCTGAGGCAGGTCTATCAGTAGAAGAGGTTCTAGTGAGTAACCATGTCTTTAACTTCAAATACAATAATTTGCGTCTTGAGGCAATTCATTCATTTTTGGACCACTTTTCTCCCATGTTACCACTTTCCAATAAATTATTCCTTCTCATCCCCTCCCAGCATTTGCTAGGGCTAGAGTGTGCCTCACTTTCTAGAACATATGGAAGGGGGATGAGAATCAGCCTATAATCCCCTCTGTGGAATCAGAATCTTCTTACTGATTAGAAGGAGATATTATTTCAACAACCTCTCTGCAGGATATTTATGGTGGGACCAACCCTTTATGCAATTTGACTCTCCTGATCCACAGTGGATCAGTAATGGAGTGGTAGAATGCTGGTGAGGTGGTGGAATGAATCACAGCACATTTGGCTACAGATAAGAGACCTCAGTCTTCTTGTTTTTTTAAAAAAAATTAATTCATTCTCCCTCAATACGGGAAACAAGCAAGACTGAGGAAGCATTTTTCTCTTTGACTGAAAGCTGTTTTTCCTTTTTTAGTAGGGATTCAAAACTTTTTTTCTTTTACTAATAGGCCAAAATGATAACATCCATTCTATACCAATTCTTTCCCAGATGGAATGACCATTCTTCGCCCCCCCCCCTCTTTTAAAACCTATGCTCTCTGTAGCTCACCACTCTTTTTGCCATTGCCTGCCAAAATCTCATTGTCTTGTGTCTGTAGCCCACTCTTTACTCATTGAGCAATATTCTTTTGTTTCTCCAGGTATGGTTCAAGAAGCGCCTGGGAGAGTGGAGGAAATCAGAAGGGCTTCCTTCAGAATCTAGGTCTGTCAGAGATTGACTAAAGCCCCCCCCCCCTTATGGAGACATCCCTGGAAAATGGACAGCAGCTCAATTATTGCTTTCTCTGTGGAACGTTACTCTCAAAAATATTTTTCCTGTTTTTTTTTAACCTGCTGCTTATTTAAAATGTATATACTAGAGGTGGAAAATAAGTATATGAAATTATGCATACTGATTGTAATGTAGACTTTTATGAAACTTACAGGGAAAAGATTACAAACTATGCCTATTGCAAATACAGTGATAATTTAACGGAGTGGATCTGGTTAAATATTTCTATTAATTCCAGCAAAATTAATAGGAAGGCGCAATAGACTGAAATATGCTTTTCTTGTCTACTGTACTTTGAGAAATAGCTTCAGCACCAGAGTCCAGGAAAGCAATATCTGGAATCAACTGCATTCATTAACATCTTACAGAAATTAGATTTTAAAAAATGAAGTTTGGGCACGATCCATCATGTGGTGTTTGTGAAGACCTTCATGTGTACACAAACAAGAGAACAAGCTCCATCTTGCTCACACAATCCATTGTGAATTCAAGGCAGGCATACTAATGAACCCTATGAAACAACCTTCTGCAATCTTGAGCAATGTGTAATATCTTGAGTCCCATAATGCAGCTTAGTTACAGTCAAATCATTTAAAGACCCAATTAGCCACCAGGTAAAGTACAGGTAGTTCTCAACTTGCAATCTTTTGCTTAATGTCTGTTCAACAGAAATTTTGGGCTCAACTGTGGTTGTAAGTTGAGGACTACCTGTATATAAAAATGACAGAAATAAAAAGATGTGAATGTACTTTGCTTCTTTCTCCTTACTTTTCCTCTATCTCATCCCTGTCTCAGATATCTGGCAGAAGGCATCCAGCATAGATGTGTTGTTTACAGACTAGGCAAATACATCAAAAGCAGTGGCTTATGTGCACAGTTGATTAGATAATTAAATGAATATAAGAAGCATATTTCTAATAATTCTAATGCTGTGCATGAAAAAGAGTATTTTTCTCTGGATATATTAATGTATCGCACATTGTAAACAGACTTGATGTGTCCATCTGACTGATTTCATACTCTATTATCTCTGAAAAAGCCACTTCTGAGGAAAGGCTTACACAAAATCTGTAGAGATAACAATTTATTTCTTCATCACAGTGACACAATGTACAGAATCTGTCCCAACCACAACTATGTGTGGCAAACCGGGCCTTTTTTTCAAGTGGGCCTTTTTTTTCAAGTTCTACACATGGAAGACTGCTTCAGAATATAGGTCAATTATATGAAATATTCATATGAATTAATCATTAATTAATCTTTAATCATGCCTGATCATTCAAAGCAGCGAAACAAACCAGTTAAAATAGAACATCAAGGTTTTAGCAGTCTGTTCCACTACCTACTTACATTCCTGACTGACCGATTTCAGTGGGCAATACAATGGGGAGAGAAGGGGGAGGTAAAGCAAGAAATGGGTGCCCAGAGAAGCATTCTGTGCTGACAGCAAATATATCATTATACTTATAATTCTCCGAGAAGTCAATGAACTTCAAAAGCATTCAGAGATGCACAACAGGAATTCTGATGAATAGCCTCAAACCTGGAATGCTGAAATGGGTGGAGTGAGGGTTTGGCCCATCCTCCCAGTAAAAATGAGAACAATGTGTAATCAATTATTTCAACAAGTGTATTGAAGAAGTATCTAAGTTTAGAAACACACATTTTTAACTGTAAATTATTTTAGGAAAAGAATCTAAAAGGAGCAGCATTATGTCAATCGATTATGGAAAACTAGCAAACCATGTATCGAAGAACAGAATCAGAACAGTGAATATGAAGGTCCATAGTTCAGCAGAGGTCTCTGTGTATGCTCAAAGTTTCTCAGGTTGAAAGGCTGCTGACATCTCTAAATGAATCCCTGTTTACCATTTTGGAGAATTGTTGCTGTTTTGTTTGATTTTGTTTTAGATAGGAAACAGCTAGATAAATCAGACTGACTTTATATGCCCGCTTGCTGTTTTGCAAAAACAGGACAAACGTGGAACTGTTTTGACATTTCTTCACAACTGGGGATTTTTATAAGGATATGATGTTTTCACCCAAATAAAGAAATGTGTTGGGTCATTAGGAAACTCTTGATGAAACAATGCAATTCAGTGAAGAAACTCTCGCACTATGTCATGAGTACTTTTAATATTGCTTGCTGTCGATGTAATAGAGCTCAGTATCAAAAGTTCAGAAGTAGCTTCCTTTGAACTCAGTTATTTGTGACCTAGAGGTTGAACCTTTGCAGGTTCCCTGACAGAAGAAGGTTGACAGTCTTTGTTCAAGAACTCTTTTGACCTCCAAATGTAACCTACAGCCTAAGCCATCTATGAGATTGTCATATAATTTCCAGGTCAGGCCTATTTAGGCTTTGGAAATCAGTCAAGGATACCGAGTTTTTAGGTGTATTATCTTAAGCTAATCTTTGCAAGGTGTATTATTTTAAGCTAATCTTTCATAACCAGGTGTTGGCCTGATGCATTAAACTATAATTCTCATCTTTTAGATATTCCCTAGAGAATATGAATATCATTAATAAGGCATTGCTTCATTCATATAACAAGCAAGATGCACTAATCAATTCTTAGGAAATGGTAGTTGGGCCAATAAAGTGGCATTCTTGCTTTCATCATGGCTAGTACCTTCAGGTGAGTCAGCTTAAGAGCTGGCTTTCCCCCCAGGCCTTAGACTTGAGTGGTGAGGGTGTGCCTTCCACGGTATTGGTTTTGCACATTTATAGTCTATGTACTGTATGTTCTCCATTAGGAACATCTTTTTGAGGGATGACAATGTTATTCTATTGGATTGGATTGTTGTTTTAAACCTTGTATGCCACTCAGATTATTTGGACAATCACGAATTGGGCCATTTATAAATAAGCTAATAAATAACAATACAACTTTCAGTGTTGTGGTTTGATCTTATTTGCAGGAGGTCAATAATGCATGTTTTGTTCTTGCAGGTTATGACTCATCCCAAGGTCCTGAGTTATTGTCAGCCTTTTGAGGTGAACCAGCCTTGATTTCCGACGTCATGAATGCTAGTGTTATTATAGGGTAACAATAAGAGAATTTTGCAGTGCTGAATGTGTTCACCCATCTCTACCTCTGTCCTAGAGAGAACTAGGAAGGATCAAGCTTTCTCAAATTCTATTTCTGCCCTGATTCATTCTCTGGCTATTGGCTTGGTTGCAGTTCTTCCTCCTGTACCTCAAGGTTATTCTCACATCCCAAGGAATTCTCTTCAACCATGGCTTTCATTCTTTTGAACCAACTACTGTATATTCTTTTCTGGGAAATTTCCCAGTTTAGTTTTTTCCTTCATCATATTGCTCACAATCGTACCATACTTCTCTGTTACTGACCTGAAATATCATGTCCAATTGCATCAGCTGTTCATTTGTTTCATATAACTTCCTAGCAATCCTAACCTGGTTATTCCAAGTTTAGCTTCTGCATTAGTTTCTTGAGCCTTTGAGTGGCTGAAGATGCAAAGTACTCTCCTCCTCACACTGAAATTTTACATTCTGTAACTGTTCTTTTGAGAAAATATTAACTGTTCTGACTCCAGATCTCATTATTTTTTCTTCAAGTCTTTTGACTTAGATACTGCAGTGCAATCTTCAGTGCTATTAGTATTAGACTGCAGGTTTATTTATTTATTTATTTATTTATTTATGAGACTTATATACCGCTTTAAGTGCAAGCACTCTCTAAGTGGTGTACACCAGTAAGCAATGTATATATATATTTACATTGCCCCCAACAATCTGGGTCCTCATTTCACCTACCCCGGAAGGATGGAAGGCTGAGTATATATATATATATATATATATATATATATATATATATATATATATATGTAGGTCTTTGGTTGTTTGGGTTTTCTCCCGCGTAAAATTGGAAGTGTCTTGGCGACATTTCAACGAAGTCCCATTCGTCATCTTCAGGCTGGTGTTTTCAGCTTCGTGCTTTGAGCAGCAATACATACATATACATACATACATACATACATACATACATACATACATACATACATATATATATATATGCTACTCCATCTCAACATGGTTAAAGATCATAAGGTTGGGAAATTAATGTAGTTTAGAACCTCACACACCGCAGCACAGAAAAAGAGTAAATTGAATGTCAGGAATCCTTTTCTCTATTCTGCTACAGGAATACCTATTGGGTAGACCAGGGGTAGGCAACCTTGGCTCTTTTACGACTCGTGGACATCAACTCCCAGAATTCCTGAGCCAGCATGGCTCAGCTTGGAAACTCTCCCTTTCCCCTCAGCATGGCTGGCTCAGGAATTCTGGGAGTTGAAGTCCTCGAGTCATAAAAGAGCCAAGGTTGCCTACCCCTGGTGTAGGCAAATCTTTGTTTCCATTCACCAGCGTAAACCTGGAAATTATTCAAACCTGGTAATTATGGGTTCAGCACATCACAGCTACATTTCCACAGCACTTGAAAAATTGTAATAGTGTTGCAAACACTGGGGAACTTGGAAAATGTAGACAGTCAAATTTCATTCCATATATGAAAGTGATGGATGAGATGAAAAACTTTTCTATATCGCTGCTGTTGCTACATCCAGAGGCAATTCAACTGGGATAAATGAGAGGGAAGAGCACCTTCATAATAATACATTCCAGGCTATAGGGTAACTTTACTAGCATGCTAAGCCACTATTCCAAAACAGAAGATTGCAGGGAAGAGAATATGAAATGTCCAAACCTGCTTTGTGCCTTCCAGATTGGGGTGTGTGGGAGGGATATTGCCTAATCAGCACTTGAGAGTGATGGCAAGGAGTTTCCAAAGGTTGTGTGTTATTTCAATTGCATCATACTGATGTAATACAGATACCAGGCATTTCATGCAGCCGCTGTAGTGAGGTCATAGGTATGTACTCTTAATCCTATGAATGCACAATAATATACGTTGAAATACTGGAGAAGAAAATCAGTGGTTCGGATTGTCACGTTCAGTAGCAATAAAATCATGTGGAAAATGATAGAGCACCACTTAGAACTTTGGAGATGCCTAGAATCTTTTGGTTCTACACAATAGACTTGTTTTGCTTCAGATTCCCTTCTCCAGGACACAAGGTTAGTAATGGCCCTCTCTTCGTAAGGAGGAAACAGAATTCTGCACATTTACAATTATTTACTTGGCTTACACTTTATACAATGAAAGCCAGTTCGATGTAGTGGTTAAAGCACTGGGCTAGAAACCTGGAGATTGTGAGTTCTAGTTCTAGCTTTTATGCACAAAGCCAGGTAGGTAACCTAGGGCCAATCACTTTATATCATCCCTAGGAAGAAGGCAATGGCAAAACACTTCTGAAACACCTTGCCAAGAAAATTACAGGAAGTTTGTCTAGACCAGGGTAGGCAACCTTGGCTCTTTTATGACTCGTAGACTTCAACTCCCAGAATGCTGGCTCAGGAATTCTGGGAGTTGAAGTCCACGAATTATAAAAGAGCCAAGGTTGCTTACCCCTGGTCTAGACAGTCTCTGAGAATCAGACACATTTTAACAGAAGAAACAAAAAGTATACAATATGTCTGAACTAAATCTTACCACTTTTTCCGTCCTCATGGTGAATTATATTGGTGATACTTCCAGAAGCTGGTATTATCTAAATCCCTTCAGTTGTGAATGGTGTTGCATTGATATTGGTTGAAAGCTATCTCTAGATGTCTCCTTATTTCTTGAGGAGCAGAAAATGTTAGTTCCAAATGTTAGTTTCATACAAGCCTTAAAGCAAGGCCAAGCTTTTGGGAATTTCTGGCATGGGCTCTAGATATCTGGGTTTAACTTTTTATTATACCGTTTCATTATTTCTATTGTAAAGATATTACCATTTTATTTATGTATTGTTTTATGGCATTATTTTTAATTCTGTTTTTCTTTTATTGTTGCTTTGCTTTTTGCTGTCTATTGATTTTTATCTAGATTTAAATTCTATTATTAGTTGTTATGAAAGGTATGTGATGACATTGGATCAGGAGAAAATACAAATCAAACATTAATATTTAAAAGTCAGGCTCCTGTTTAACTGTGAATAACTGTGTTGTTCGTTCAGCTGATGTTACTTTTCAGATGTTATTAAGAACTTGTGGAACCCAAAACATGACAGTAGAAGAAGTAGACAAAAGCATGCGGCTATAGTTCCTTTAATTTATTGAAAATGCCACAGAGATTTAGATGTGGGTGATCTGTGTGATCAACGAGTAATTGGTTGTGCTAAATTCTTGACTCTTTCTGTACAAAATGCTTTCTTAGCAGACTCCTTTACAATAAAGGCATCTGGATTAAACTGCACAAGATTGGTTGGGGCCCTGACAAAAGAAATGTGAAAAGATTAATTAGCAATAGTAATAGCAATAGCAATTAGACTTATATACCACTTCACAGTATTTTACAGCCCTCTCTAAGAGATTTACAGAGTCAGCATATTGCTCCCAACCATCCGGGTTCTCATTTTACCGACCTCAGAAGGATGGAAGGCTAAGTCAACCTTGAGACGATGAGAATCGAACTGCTGAACTGCTGACAACTGGGAGTCAGCAGAAGCACTGCAGTACTGCATTCTAACCACTGTGCCACCACAGCTCAATGCTGCTCTTTTTTTATAAAACTGCCTGCAAGATTCACAAAGAAATCCAACCCCAGAGTTTCACATGCTGGATGAGGAAAAAATATATATAACATTGCTAAGGTCTGTGCTGTTTTCTTGGCAGAGAATTGCTCTGTCAGTAGGATAATAAACCTTCCTGGATCAGTTCTAAATTTCTTCTAACCGGTCGACAAAACATATGCACAAGACAAATCTTTCACAACACAAATCTTTTTGTACTTGTGTCCTGATATTACATGTAAGTCATGAGGTTTGCGCTGTCATAAGTCATAACCTTTGTTTTGTTACTAGCTTCTTGTCCCTATTATTATGTGATAACATCTATGTTTCCTGCTGCTTTTAAAAATCCCATTGGCTTCAGCAGAAGAAAAAAGAATAGAAAAAAACCCCGATATTCTGAGGTAAAACAATGAAAAAGTAGTCTGTCTCTCCATCCCTATATGCAGTGAAGGAATATCTACTAGTCAAATGATAGTCATTCCATCAATAATCCAATTCAGGCGGTTTCTTTGTTTTCAGAAAACTCAATGGTTCCCAATAAAATCATTGGGATGAATGTTATTTAGTCACCTGTCAAGCAAATAACTGGAGAGAATACAGTTTGCAGAAAGATACATCTAGCACAGGAAGCTATGTATCATATATAGGGGGGGGAAAAGGAACTTAGGGCGTTTATGAAAGGCGAGCAATGGCACCAATTGCCATGGGCTTCAGATACAGAGGGAGATCCATTTCAAAGGATTGCTAAGGTCTTCAAATGAAGGAAATGTAACAAATATATTTTCACAACTTTCCTGATACGTTCTTCTTTACCGGGTCATAACTTCAGTGAACAGAAACAACGGAAAGAATAAGACACTAGCATGAGGGGCAATGAAAGCTAGGATCTCTGCATGCACGGAGGATCCTTCTGCCCTTAGGTCTCTCAGAGTGGAGATCTCCAACCTTGCCAACTTTAAGACTGTGGACTTCAACTCCCAGAATTCTAGGAGTTGAAGTCCATAAGTCTTAAAGTTGTCAAGGTTGGAGACCCCTGTCTCAGAGCCTTTAAAAGTTATCTAAAGGCCAAGATCCTGTCCCTCAAATGGACAGTTGGTGAGACCATCAACACGGCCATCAGATCATCTGGGAGATCCCACCTGTTGGGAGGTTGAGCGAGTTCCGTGAGTCGAGGAGAGGCCACTGCCTGCTTGGCTGCTACTGACACGGGCCACTCAGGGGAACGATCCATGGCACTGTCAGAAGGGATTGTTTTTGGTCTTGCTAGTTCAAGTAGCCTTGGACTTGGGACAGCTTGTAGAGCAGTCAGGGGTATCTGCAGAAAAAATGCTGATTTTTGAACCTGGGATTAATTCCAGAACATTTCTGAAAAAGCTAAGATACAAGATAAATCCATCCTCAAAGGATTAGGACCTACTTTCCTCTTCCCTCAATAATCTCTGAAAGCAAAGTAGAGGCAAAGCTACAGAGAAGCTTTCTGGCAGGATTCTAAAGGTAGTAGAATGAGTGTGACAGGTCCCAAGGATAGCTGAATATATGATTCTGTCAAACCCTGAGATGAATAAGATCAATTCAGAAAGATCTGCTGACTCTCCAAAGAGAAATGGATTATCTACTTAAGTCACATTCCTTAGAGAAAGGAGTTAAGTCAAGATTGCCTAGGTAACATGGTGGAAGTCCTTGGTGGTGATCTATCTTATGGACATGGCAGGAGAATAACAGAATAACAGAGGTCTTGGAGGTCTTCTATTCCAACCCCCTCAAGCAGGAGACCCTATACCTGTCAAGCACCAGGGAAATCAGGAGATTCAGGCAACTCAGATGAGCATAAAGATTTATTGCAAGATTAAGCTCTCTACAACAATCTGAACTACTAAAGGTCAAGGGAAATTTGTGAGAGTTAAGGATAGAAAGGAATTCAAGGTAGGCTGGACTTAGATCTCTTGCAGCCATGCAAGGACTCATGACTTATGACATGTTTGACCCTTCCCTTGGATTCAGCCTGATCATCTCCTACAATATCATTTCAGCCAAATGATGGAGGATCTCACTTATAAAAGATGCTCACTTGGATGCTGCTTATTGGGCATTTACAGGAGCAGCAGTAATCAGGGGTAGGTACCAGTGGCATGAGAAACACTACTCAGAGATGGTCTGAATAGGAAGGCATTGACAATGACACTGAACAGGGCGCAGTGGGAGGAGGAAGTGATTGTGTAGCTACTTCTTATTTTCTATAGTGGCAGCAGCCTGTGAGAAGTGGGAAAGGGCATAGGATGGCTGGAAATTTGGGGCATTATATTGAGGTGTATTATATTGATGTTTTTAACAAATTTATCCTATGCATACAATGATAAACATTCCTTCCTAGCTAACTTCAATATTAAAAGTGACAAGCTTCACACTTGGGCTCAGCAGTAAATCATAACTCTTTAGACTTTTGACTCTTTATTCAGCCCTTCAGTTGACTTGATACAAGATTCCCAGCACAATTCAGCTAAATTAGAATATTTTATTACGAACAAGAATAAGCCCTAGCCAAAATAAATTGCCTACTACAATACCAAGAAACAGAAATCGGGGCCTTTATATATGATATAAATGATCATCTCAGATCTATGCTCTGATCTTTATATAGTACTTCCATTCAACAGAACTAGCCAGTCTCTTGATGGCTTGGGAAATTATTGAGATCTATTTACATAAAGGTTCTTTCCAGCCGGATAACTGCTTGATCCTACCTTGCAATCTTATCCCTTATATCAACATAGAAGTATCAAAGTAAAAAAAAATTACTTGACGGATTGGGAACTCCATGCATGTATTTTCATATAACTGCATTTTTTGCCTAACTACTGGCTGGGCAAGTTGCTGTAATCTTGGGCTAGCTTCAGCTCTTCTTGCAGCCTTTGAAATCTCTCTTTCAGGCTAGATAGGAAAAATAAACCAACAATAAAGCAAATTTGATTACAAAACCAACCAACCAATCAGCCAACAAACAAAAAGAAAAATGGTCAGATGCCAAGAAAAATAACATTTCTTTCTCCCCCAGTAATAGCTCCCAAGGATCCTGTGGAAGAAGAAAGAGCAGGTTGGGTATACACTTCTTATTTAGTCTCAAGTCAAGCTGATGCATCTTTAATCTATATACAGTAGACCAGAAAGGATCTGTACAGACAAAGTTCACGCCAATAGTTATGATACACAAGAAAATCTGCTTATTTGCTCATTCTAATTTTGGGAGGGGCATATGGCAATGGCTTCTTATCCGAGATAGTATTTCCTCTTGAGTACATGAGGGGGCAAACTCTCATATGAGAGTGCAGGTAAGTCCATCCTCAGAAACCTAGACTCTGAAAACCAGCTGTCAAAACTGCACAGTTCTGTTTCCTTTCCCCAGCAATGAAAATGTAAATTTTCAGACCAGCAAATTTCTATTTTACCTCAAGGGCTGGTCATCTGAGACACGGGCCATCTGGAAAACACATAATGCTAACGTACAGCCCAAAATCAGAAGATCATAGGCAAATGTATTCACATATTCGATATAAATGTGTTTTCCAGAGGGATAATTGTGTCAGAGTTCTGGGCCAAAGATTATTCAACTTTCTTTCCCCCCTCTTTCCTATCCTTACTGTATGATCAGTTTTGCAATTCACAGTAATGTGATTTGGGCAGAAAAGCAAATTATAATTGTAACTGGCCCTCCTGCTCCAAGCTTTCTTAACGATTCTCCTAGAAAGTTGTGAAATGCCCCAATAATCTCATGGTTTCCCCCCAATATTCTCCTCTCTAGTTCCAGCATCCTAGTGCAGATTCTTAGTCCTTCCATTTTTTCTTCAACCTTCTTCTGCCTTTCATCAGGTATTTCCAGTGGTGGGATTCAAATATGTGAACAACCAGTTCTCTGTGTGGATGCCGCTTCCGGAAGTCCATTCTGGGCCTGGGCAACAAAAAATTAGCTACCGGTTCTGCTGAAGTGGTGCGAACTGGCTGAATCTCACCACTTGGTCTTTCCCTCTGTCATTTTTCTAATTTAAGTCTCTTTTCAGCAAAAAAAAAATCACATTCCTTTCCTAGGAAAAATTAAACAATCAAGGTTGATGAGTAAATACAGCACAAGAGTAGATTCATCATAATAGCAAAAGCTATTTAGGCCAAAATCTTTCTAATCTCTTTATATTTTATTCACAATCATTTCATCTCAGAGCTTCAGAATTAAACCTGCTCTTTCCAAATTCATCTTATAATCCCACTATTGAGCAGTTCTGGTTTCAAGTGGTATATTTGGTTAGAGATTTGCTTTGCAGCATATTAAAAACCAAGAAGAGATTTCTGGTCCTGCGCAGTAGCGCAGCAGTTGAGGGGTTCAGGACTCCGTGCCCTTTGGCTGAGTTTCTTCCTGTTAGGGGACCCTAAATGGACCAGAAGCTGAACCGAAGAGGCGGCAAAGAAGGAAGTAAGTCCCGGGGACCTCGGAGACACGGTGGTCGACCTGATTGGTTCAGGAGAAGCCTTCCAGAAACTAACAGGAGAAAGGCTAGCCTAACTTCAGTGTCTAGCCCAAGCTGCAAGCAACCGAAGTCAAAAGCACTATTTTAAGCTGATTGTAAACAGCACATTTGAATCTGGGTAAGAACATCGATTTTCTCTATCCTACTTATCAACTCCTGAAGGAAAAAAAAATCCCAAGAAGCAAAAAAAAACCCTCTGAAAGTGGAGGGGGATTTTTGCCCCATCCTTTTAGTAATGGAAGTGGCGAATTAAACCTTTTATGGAGGACCAAAACATATTGAAATGAAATGAAATTATTATAAAACCTAAATCTGGATAAGTTTGAAATTACTGAATGGTTAAATAGTTATCCCTCTGTTGTTATATATGTTGTTTGATAAAAGAGGTCATCCCATTGCCATTTTTTTGGAAGAGCTAACAAATTATCTCTCTCCTGAAATGTTTATTTTCCCTTCAGTCTGTTCTTCTTCTTCATCCTCAGGTTTCTTCTGGTTTATATATAGAAAGTCTTTTCCATTTTCAATGTTGTCAGTCCCTTTCCTGGGTTTTCTGTTAACTATGTTCGTTGATCAGTTAAACCTTCTATCACAGTATTTAATTGTTCCATTTCTTCTATTATATTCTGTGTAGCTGATTCTTTAGTTGTGATCAAAGTTTGGGTTCATATATCTAGGCTGACATCTTGTTCTTTTCTGTAGCTTCTTATTTCATCAGTGGCTGTAAGAATAGTTTCATAAATTGCTTTCAGCATAAAAAGAATCTGTTCCTGATCTTCATCCATGTTCTCTTAGTGGTGTGTTAAATTAAAAGCTTTACAATCAGAGAATGAAAATAATTTTGTCACTGAGTATGGAACACAGCTGGGCTTCTCACAGTTGATGTCTGTCAAGGTTGCAAAAGTCTTATCTATAGTCTGGGCTTCAAGCCAAGTCTCTTTTAGACAATAACAAGTTGTAATATCAGGTTTAGCCACAAGATGTCGGCCACAATGTTTAAGATTTTTGTTTTTTAAGTTCAAAATTTTTACATTTTTTTTCAATTTTACTTCTTTTTTGTAGGTAAAAACCCAAATCTTCAATAAGAATAAGAAATCTTTTAGTCCTCAAATTTTAGAAAGATAAAAATCCAGTTAGAATCAAGTTATTCTTTCAGCGTTTTAAACTCCCCTGGATAATCAGTCGCTGCTGTTTTTAGAGGGTGGTACAGAATTTCCCTTCCCTCTCTCCACAGGTGGGAAAATACTTTGTGCAGCTTATACAGGTAGAAAAAATAATTAGGATTAAAGAGAGGTTCAGATCTCACCCATTCTCATCCATGCTGCTTTATAGATGCCTGGTGGTAAGTTTGACTTTGACTGTCTGCAGCCTAGAGACGGGTCATATTTCTATGGCCAGTCTTACGTCCGCTGGTTTGGATGGTTGCCCCGGATCGAGCAGAAGGGATACCGCCCTCCTGCGATCAAGTGGGGGTACCCTCTGTGCTTGTCTCCCCTACAGGGTGACTTTTGACCCTTTCCAGGGTCTCTCAGCAGTGCGAAATCGGATGTGGAAGACGGAGTTTGCCTTCCAGTGGCCGCGGTGGCCACAGCGGCAAACCAGAAGTCTTGACTTACCTTTTATATCTACAGTAACACCTACAAGAATATGGAAAGATTTTTTGATTCAGCAGAACATATTGATTAAGAAAGATACTGGGCAAAAGAAAAAGGCTAAGTGAAAATTAAGAAAATAGATGACGGGGCCTATCAGAGAGAATATTTAAAAAACAAACACCTGCTCAAATATGGTTAAAGAAATAGAAAAATTTTGGATATGAATTTGATTTTAAGAGGGAAGAGCCCCTCAAGTAACATAGTGATTTCTTTTTCTTCTTTCTTTTTATTTTATTTCTTGATATGAGTAATATAAATGAATTGGAATGGCTTATATAAAAAAAATGTTTTAGATATTTAAAGGTGATTGACTTTAAGAAAATTACAATGGATTAAAAATGTTTTGAATAAGAGTTAAAAGACTAGAGGACTAGATTTATTAAATGGAATATTTAAAGATGAAATATATTTTTAATTATGGTAAAAAGAACGATTTTTGGGGGAAATAAATATGTACCGTATTAGCTTACAGGAAATAGGGATTTTAAGTAGCATACTATCTTTTTATTTTTATTCTTATTCTTATTTTTTCTTTTTTTAGTCTTATTTATTTCTTAAGAAAGGTAAAAGTATTGGGTTGGCTTACATGAGAAAAAATAGACTTACATATTTAAATGTAATTAACTTTGAGAAAATTTTAACCAGTAAGAATGTTTTGAACATTGTGGGAAAAACAAATGTAAACAAGAACTGTAAACAGGATCTATGATGAGACAACCAGAATGACTAGATAGAAAAGGAATATTATATTGATGTAATTATTATTTGTAGAAATATTAGAAAACTTTTATATTCAATCGTCATTCATTAAAACAACAAGAATTGTATTAACTTAAGGTTGGTAAAAGAGAACATTATGGGAAAAAGAGGAAATCAAGTAAAGTTATTATGTGGATTATAGATTATAGAAATCAACTGTTAGTGAATGTTTCTTAAATGTAAACCCAGACAACACACTATTTACCGAATATTAAGGCGATTATGTTAAAAAAATTAATAAAACATATTTAAAAATAAAAATAAAAATCAAGAAGAGGTTTCTTGAAGAGTGAAAATTACATCGTCTCCTCAAAAAGAGGAGACAAAATACTGAAAAGTGTTTTAAGCACAACAAACTTTACAATACAAACTATGCCATCTACCATGACAGAAGATTTGAAAAATCCCTTTTTAAAATGCAAACAACACACTAACATAGCCAAAGGTAGAAGGCTGAGGTAGTATGAAAGATTTTTCTCAGCTTGCTGAAACAGCAGGTTTTTCAGTGTGAATCAGGAGCAAGAGGGTTCAGCAAAGATAGTGTAGATCAGGGGTAGGCATCCTTGGCTCTTTTATGACTCGTGGACTTCAACTCCCAGAATTCCTGAGCCAGCCATGCTCCATTCTAGGAGTTGAAGTCTACGAGTCATAAAAGAGCCAAGGTTGCCTACCCCTGGTGTAGACCAAGGATAGAAAACCTTTGGCCTGCAAAGCAACTTCATCTGGTATTTCATCCATCCTGGTATGGGAGGATCCCTGGGAGTTTGTGCTTAAAATACTTTTCAGTATTTTGTCTTCTTCTCTCTTGAAGGAAAAGCTTTGGAGGATAGATTTTAAGTCTTGTCTCTGGCAACAGTACTTCTGATCCTGAACCTCTTATTTCTTGCCTTTGAAACAAATAGTTACATATAACAATGGCAGGCAACTTTAAAATAGATTTCTTGTAACCTGCAGCTTTCTAATTCTTTATAAAACGTCTAGCACTTATGGTATTTTAAGGACT